CCAATTTTGAAAGTATGATGGTTTTGTTGGTATTTCAGTGCTCGTCTTGATAGTAAGGGAAATTATTTCGCTACCATTCTTTTGAGTGGTGACGATTCCTTAATTGTCAGAGTTGACCTTTCCAATAGAATCGGCCAAGTTTCGCATTTTGAAAGAACAAACATTTATACTTCAGTTTTAGCTGAAACTCAAAATTTTTACATTATTGGAACTTCTCCTCCTTCCATTCTTGGTTTAGATGCCACTACTCTCCAATTGAAGTGGACTGCAAACGTTACTGGAAGTGAAATGATTTTGGTCAACTCTGCAAATAGCAAGGATGATGTCATTTATGCAGCTGATTACAACATTTTGCACAAAATTCGTGTAAACGATGGTCGGATCATATCTTCATTCAAATTCCCACATGATATTGATAATATCGCATATGTGAGTGGTGTGAATGGATGGGTTTCGGTTACTTTAGCAAACGATACTTCTATTTCTGTATCTTTCCTTAATATTGAAAACCAAATTGAAACAAGACTTGAAGTGATGAGTACTAGACATATGCCACATGTTGATTCTAATTCAGCTTGTTCTTATCCAATTGCTACTGCCAATCAAACTGGAAATATTTTGGAAATTACGTCAATTGTCAAGTGTGAAATTACTTCAGGTTTTGGAGGCTCAGAAAAGATTATTGCAGTCAAATCCAGATTTGATAAAAATTCCTTAAAGCCATTGCCAAACGAACCAAACTTGATTTGGTCAACTGACACTTCTGCCCTCGTAATTGCCCAAATTGACTCCAAGACCATTCTATCAATGGAATATTCAGCAGAAAACAGCATTTATATTCAATACGATATTTCCACTGGTAAGATCATCAAAACATCTCCCTCTCGCATTTCAAGTGGTTATGGTTTCCCATATCTCGTAACAAGTTCCAACAATAAGGTCTATAGATATGAATTGACTCCACATATTGATGTTGAATCAGCTGATTTGTAAAAGAATGGAAAGAATGGAATAAAAAGTGTTGGATTTATGGAATTCCTCCTTCATACTTCTTTCAATCATTACAATAATTGTTTTATCCGTATCGTACATTACAGTCACGTCTCGAATAATGCGGAGTCAGTCGATTTTTAAAACACTCCGAATTATTTGCATCCATTTTGTAATGAATTGATATGTTTTATGCATAAATCCTAACTTTTGATAATCTTGACAGCCATAAAGATGCCCAAAGAATGCAGCTAATGTAAATGTGACTTGTCATTCAACAGATCCTTCCAATGTAAGCTAAGAGATTTGCAAGCCGAATGGTATGATGAGCAAGCAGAAATTATCATCAACAATAAGAAGAAGGTAAACACATTCCCAAAAGTCTCAACACAGCAACTAATTAACTGGACATCAATGGCATTAACTTCAGTAGAAGATAGAACAATTGTGAGTGGGTTCAAACAGGATTAGGCCTTGCAAAGGACGGTAGTGAAGATGATGAAGTGCTTTAGAAGAAGCATGCTGAAGAATAACACTCCGAATTATTTTTGTTGTTGCAATTTTTTTTTGAAAATCGACCTCCGAATTAATAAAAACCGCATTATTCGAGACGTGACTGTACCAAAATACCATTGTAACTACAAGTCACATTCCAATTCGAAAATTTAATTCCCAATAATTCAATAGAATGACGCTTCTGGTGCTTTGAAGCTTAAATTTATACTGATAGTTGATGCCATGAAAATTGGAAAGCACTTGTTTAAAGGATGTTGAGAGAAAACTCACAATCAGCATGAAGCTGGGCAAGACCAGTCTAAAAAATAGAATTACACACACAATATGGGGCAAACACTTGCATACCCTGTCATGATCCAGACCATCCTTGATGGATGCAATTTTCTCTCAACATCCTTTAAACAAGTTGATTTAAAGAAAACCTTCTTGGAATATGGTGAACAATGTAATGCCTTGAGTATTTTTGTAAAGGAAGCTAACAAACACATTTCAGAATTTTCTCCAACACTTAAAGAGAGATATAAATCGTTAAAGGTCAAACTCTATGAAGAATGTATGAAATTGACTAATTTGAATACCACATTCCGAACAACATTGAATTTGATGAAAAAAGAATTAGAATATTTTAGAGTTCTTGCGAAAACAGACGAAACTGCATTATTATTCACAAACAAAATCGCTTCACACGAAACAACTTTTAATGAAATGGCTAAAAGTTTTGAAAAGTACAAGGATGATTTAGGAACAATGGGCAGTGAATGTGTTGACATTGCCCAACAGATAGATAACGAAATACCAAAAGAGAAATTTGTAAAGCTCGTGCTTGGACAATTGTTGGCATAATTAC